AAAATGGGTCATGGGCTGAACAGTTGATACCTTGCTAATAAGTGGTGAATGTGAATGGCCAGATATATCCACAACCTCAGACATCAATGTACAATTAGGCAAGTTGTGCTTTTGCTGAAGAGAGCTGGTCATGAAATGTAATCAAACCACCCCCATAGAGTCAGAATAACCTCAGTCCCAGAGGTCCACTGTTCCTCAGCAACAAAAATAGATCAGCAACAATGTTAACCATGGTAACAGCACTCGCAATAGGAATGACACATTCCAGATAAGATTATGAATGAACAGTTACCAGAGGAATAGCCAGCAAACAATTGTACAGGTTTCCTAATGGTAAACGTGCACAGTAAAGGTTACGAATCTAATGTATGTATGATGTATGATGTATGTTTAAAGCCTTTCACAAGTAGAACTGACTGGAGTCAACACACTTTTTGTTAAAGAATATTGCTTCTCTTTTGACCAGGTACATTTGGTAACTTCTGGCTGCAAATGATGATGTATGCAATTGTTTTTTACTTCCTTTAGGTAGTTTAAGGAAATGTAAAGTATTTAATATACTAGCTGCGTTGTTGTAATCATGAGACCTCTACCTCTGTTCTAATTGCCTTTATGTGCAGTCCGTGGCAGCTATTAAACACACATCACTTGAAACATAAATCATTGGCATGTTCAAGCAATGCTTTTGCTGTGTGGACCACTCTGGAGAAGCCCTGCTGTGTTTATCACAGCAGCTATCAGTAATTTTTTGGAGGTCAGTTTCGTGCTTGAAGTATAAAGGTCAGCCCTTGCCACCAGCTGTCCAGGGCTTTAAAAACTGGAGAATGGAAGAAGGACAAGGAAGAAGAGCGCAAAAGGAAATGAGGAGCTACCTAAGCCACCGTTTCCAACCAGACTGCCCATGAAGAACTCAAACTAGTACAATATCAACAACTGCAACCCCAATTCCTCATTCACCAACTGTCCCACACTTTACCTTCCATCTCATTTATCATCACAGCATCTACTTAGCCATAACGCAAAAGTAAATGCCAGTGGAAAATGTTTATTCCAAATCAAATTTTATAAAGGAATGATTACATGATACACATAAAGATTAATTCACTATTCTTGTACATTCCCTTTAGACCTTGGCTTTCATTTACCTTTGTCTCTCTTCAGCCTCCTATTCAAAGCTACTCCGGTGGCTGCAGCAAAGCCGCTGGAACGATGCTAACTTTCAATGGGGGAAACTGCTTTAAAAGATAATATCAAACAACGCTGGGCCAAGAATGGCAAATAGCAGGCTGTATCATTTTATCTTGGATGGAATAGTCTGTACTAGTTGCTGACAGGCATTGGAAGAGTGACTAAGGCACTGGAAGAGTGGCAGGAAGAATAGAGGAGCTGAATATTATTTAAATAAAGAAAGACTGCAGAAAGGGATTTGGGGGTCCTTGCACATAAGTCATAAAAAACTTGCATTCAAGTTCAGCAGGTGATAAAAAAGGCAAATGGACTGTTATCCTTTGTTTCACAGGAATGGAGTACGAAAAATAGGGAGATCTTGCTAAAACTATATAAGGCACCAGTCAGTTCACATCTGGAATATTGTGAATAGTTTTGGTCTCTCTATCTCAGGAAAAATACACTGGCATTGGAGTGAGTCCAGAAATAGTTCACCAGGCTGATTCCAGGTTTGGAGGGATTTTCTTACATGGAGGGATTAAGCAGGTTGGGCTGGTACTCATTGGAGTTTAGAAGAATGAGAGGAGACTTTATTAAAACATATAAGTTTCTCAGAGACTAATGAACATGGACTGCAGCAGTTCCAGAAGACAGCTTAGCACCACTTTCTAAAGGGCACTTAGGATGGGCAATAAATGCTGGCCCAGCCAGTGACGCTGACATCTCACGAATGAATTGAAAAAAAATCAAGATAGATGTGGAGAGGTAGTTTTCCCTTGTGGGAAAGTTTAGGACCACAGGGCATAATCTCAGAGTAATGGGACCTCTATTTAAGACAGATGAAGAGAACTATTTTTCTCTGGGGGTAGTAAATCTATGGAATTCTTTACCATAGAGAGCTATCACTTTATAATATTAGTGAACCCAAAAAGGAACAAGCTTGGTGATCTTGCCACGTTACAGACATATCATTTTTCTGTTAGCTTGGTGCTCTTTTTATGGCATAGATTTTATTGATTTTTTCTGCAGCTGCCTAACTTTCTGCAGTGACTATTATAAGATTACAAAGGGACAGACATGGCTGCCTTACAATGTGATACCTCACAAGTGTAGTTCCTTTGCAAATACGGTGGTTGTCTTGGGTTTATTAGCCATGTCTTGGTTTATTATTTGAAGACATTCATCTCGAGGGAGTTAAGACAATATCCTCCTTCCTTTCAAAAAAGACACAGTCAATTATGAAATGTCTTGAAATCGTCTCAGGATATGTATATAAACATATTTTTGTCTGGCATGTGCTATTCTGTCTGTTGGACAGTGAGTCAGTTTATAAATACACGAGTTCAATCATCTGACCTTCAGGAGCCACCTTTGCTGCATATTGTCTACTTTGTAAAGGAAAAGTCAGTTTCAATGAGTCCACATTAGATCTTTAAAAGTTAGGAATGTGCTATTTCTCTGCAGGGCTATAATACATGTTCCATGTGTTTGACAAATAGTGGTGTCCAGAACAACGTACATTCCTTTAATACACAGGAATAAAAGGATTTTGACTTTGCGATAGTGTAAAATGGATGTTCGTCAGACAACACAAAACTCTCAACTTTTCATTCCATTACTTACTGTCACTGATTTAACTCTGTCACACGAATTAAAAATCTACCTTATTTTTTGTTCACTCATAGGATGTGGGCATCGCTGGCTGGCCAGCATTTATTTCCCATTCCTTGTTACCCTTGAGAAGGTGGTGGTGAGCTGCTACCTTGAAGCGCTGCAGTCACCTGCTGTGGGTTGACCCACAATGCCATTAGGGAGGGAATTTCAGGATTTTGACCCAGCGACAGTGAAGGAATGGCAATATATTTCCAAGTCAGAATGGTGAGTGGCTTGGAGGGGAACTTGCAGGTGATGGTGTTCTCATGTATCTGTTACCCTTGTCCTTATATATGGAAGTGGTTATGGATTTGAATGGTGGTGTCTAAGGATCATTGGTGAATTTCTGCAGTCCACCTCGTAGGTAGTGCACACTGAGCTATGACTGAGCGTCGGTGGTGGAGGGAATGGATGCTTGTGAATTTGGTGCCAATTAAGCCATTTTTTGGAGCTGCACCCATCCACGCAAGTGGAGAGTATTCCATCACACTCCTGACTTGTGCCTTGTAAATCATGGATAGGCTTCGGGGAATCAGGAGGTGAGTTACTTGCTGCAGTATTCCTAGTCTCTGACCTGGTCTTGTAGCCTCTCTGTTTATGTGGTGAGTCCAGTTAAGCTTCTGGTCGATGGCAATCCCCAGGATGTTGATAGTGAGGAATTCAGTGATGGTAGGATCATTGAGTGTAAAGGAACGATTGTTAGATTGTCTCTTCTTTGAGGTGGTCACAGCCTGGCATTTGTGTGACACGAATGTTACATGTCACTTATCAGTCCAAGCCTGGATATTATTCAGATCTTGTTGCATTTGAACATGGACTGCTTCAGTAGTTGGAGTCGTGAATGGTGCTGAACATTGTGCAATCATCGGAGAACATCCCCACTTCTGACCTCATGATGAAGGGAGTGTCATTGATGAAGCAACTGAAGATGGTTGGGCCTAGGACACTACGCTGAGGAACAAATTGAAGAAAAGTCATAAAGTCATAGAGTTTACAGCACAGAAACAGACCCTTCAGTCCAACTTGTCCATGCCAACCAAGTTTTCCAAACTAAACTGGTCCCATTTGCCTGCACTTGGCCTATATCCCTGTAAACCTTTCCAACTCATGTTCTTGTTATCTTGTGTGATTTCTGTTGGATTATTTGCAAGAATGATTCTAAAGCCGTATGGTTCAAAGTCTTTTGCGGGGGCCATATCCAGGTCTCAGAGCTGCAAAGCATATATATTAAACATCAGACATATTTAACTTAAACTATGAGAACAAAATGTAAAGACACAAGTGCAAAATAAACAAATCTCAGGATAAACTTTAGATTGGAGAAAGTCACTGCGCAATACTATGTACATGGATTTCAGTCTCAGCCAAAAGTGCTTAACTAAGTTTGTGTCCTGAAAAAGAACTAGGATAAATATTTAGTTTGAGATTTTTTTTTAGAAATCAAGATTACAACCTAAAATCTATGAAACACACAAGCCTAGCAATTGGCTGGAATGGGATTCCAGCTGATGCTAGATGCCTGCACTTCTTTCCAGGAGAATCATGAGCTGCAAACAACTTGAGAATGTCTCCACGTAGCTCATTGGCAAAGTGAATTTCAATTTGGTCCATCATGTCACTAACAGCAGTAGATCCTGGGAGTTGGATGGCAGTGCTATGGAGGGATGCAGTGATAGGGAAGCGAGGGTAACTTTCACAAAGGGGTTTGAGGGGATTTCATTGGCTGCTTAAATGGCCTCAGCTGGGGCAAGGACAGGAAGGCTGCCTCAAGCCTTGCGCTCCCTCTGTGAAATAGTGGATTTGGCAGGAGACAGCAAGAAGGCTATCCAGCTAATTTGACCAGCCCCATTGTCTGCAAACCTACTGGCAGGGACCTGTAAAACTTTGTCTGCTTGATTTGTAAAAGCAATCTGTTTGAAGATCAAATTTCTCTGAGCTTTACCTCTGTAAAATGTTTACTTAAGGTTGGTGACCATCCTCAGGAGACTGAATAGAATCCATGCTGGGACAAACTGAATCTGACCTACAGAAACACTTTTTAAAAAATTTTCTAATTACGCTTGGATCATGGAAGATCACCAGTTTGGAAGATTTGTCAATTTTACAAAAAAAATTCTGTGCAACCTATTGCCATCCAATATGTGAAGTCATTTCACTATGTTATTGACATTCAATGTTAGGGTGATCGTGGCCTCCCAGGACCACCAGGGCCATTTGGACAAAAAGGAGATGGATACCCAGGAGCGCCTGTAAGTATTTGTAAACCTAACATTGCAAACCGAAGTTTTGTTGCATGTAAATCTATGTCATTGTTTATACAATGCCATAATTTAAAAATAAATGATGTCAGAATGGCATCCTTACGACAAGTAAGGACTACGCAGACAGAAAAGCATTGGGTGACCACCAGGCAGACTAGTAAATATGGGCAGGCAATGCGGGAGTCTCCTGTGGCCATTCCCCCTTCAAACAGAGATATCATTTTGGATACTATTTGGAGGAAATGGCATCTCAAGTGAAAGCAACTAGGGCAGTCAAATCAATGATACCAAGATTGGCTCTATTGTGCAGCAAGGAGGGACGAAGTGTAGGCGAATGGTAGTGATAAGGGACTCTATAGTCAGGAGTGCAGAGAGGCATTTCTGTGGCCACAAGTGAGACTCCAGGACGGTGTGTTGGCTCCCTGGGGCCAGGTCAAGGAACAGCTAGAGGTTGTGGTCCATATTGCTACTAACAGCAGAGGCAGGAAGAGAGATGATGTTCTGCAAAGGGAGTTCAGTCGGCCACTCAGGCAGTCAGGGTCAGGGTACTTCCCACATAAGGAATGAGAAACTGAATGCTGGGCATTCCTTCACACGTCTTCACTCTTACCATTCGAACAAGACTGCTTTTGTCCTGGAATGAGACAGAGGCAAATATAAAGGGAGATGAAAATGGGTGGCACAGCTGTAACTTTTGGTGCAGTTGGGAAGGTGTCCCGAGCAAGTGAGTAGGCAGCACAGAGGGTGTGCAGGGTTAGTGGCGTTGAGGGTTGGAGCAAGTGAGGGAAGGTGTTGCAGATAGCGGTGAGAGTGGTAGAGCATGAGCCTTGACAGGAGGTGGGTGCAGTAGAAGAGATAGCGTGAATGTGAGATGTTGGAGAGAAGATGGTTAGCACTTATGCTAGTGCAATGGAGAGGGTCATTGATATTCTTCCTACAGAGCTGGGTATTTCTCCAGAAGGCTGAGACTGAAATGACCCAGCAGGCAACCTTGGACCAGGCTGGCATGGTCTGCTGATGTGACATCTTCTGCTGTCTTGGGAGAAGGAGACTTCCTATATGTGCACTATCCCAATCAGCGGGACCTCCAGGTCCCTACCCACACAGTGGGACACCAATTTCCCCCCATCTGCCATCATCCAGGGCAAATAAAAGTGTAGGGCAGTTCTCAACTGAAAGTATTTGTCTGGTGCACAACAGTGTTTTAAAGATGGCGCCAGCACTAGGGGTGCCAGTCATCTCCTGGATAACCCTGCAGTGGCTAGTTGTTCTGGCAACCGCAAATGTTAAGATGGGGATAGAACTGGATGAAAGGGACACCATCTTGAGCGGTGTAGGTAGTTAGTAGTGAGTTTTGTTAGACGCTGTGTCAAAGCATGCCAGGTCTTGCAGCAAAATTCTCTCTCAGAAACCTCGACACAACTGCCATTAGCCAAAAAAATTCAGCCCAGAGCTTTGGTCTTTTGGGCAATCAAGGGATATGGGATTGGGCAGAACAGTAGAGTTAATGCAGAAGATCAGCAAAGATTGTAGACAGGATCAGGGGGCAATGTGATCAACTCCTACTTCTAGTTCTTATTTTACAATGTACTTTTTATACAATCATTTTTCTGGGTATATATCCAGTGTTGTATATCCTTAATAAAAGCCCTTCATGAAAACGCAATGGCTATTGGTGGAGAAAACCTGAAGATAATTTATCTTCTAATTAAAAGGGGTTGCCAGGCCTCCCAGGGCCCACAGGTGAACAGGGGCCTATCGGAATTGGATTCCCAGGGCCTAAGGTATGTAAATGTACTTGATAAGTTATATTGAAATTTTTTTTCAGCATTTTACAGAGATGTAATGTAAGTCTAAGCAGCTACATCTACTTACAGAATCAAAAGTTTACATGTAATTAAAAATATTTACTTTTATTTGTCGTTAAAACCGTGTACTAGTTCAAGCATGACTAACCAGAGTAAGTAGTTTCAACAAAAAAAGCATTTTAATTGAATATTACTATGGGATTTTCATTACCATGTTTCCATTATTTTGTGTGATGTGCCCCTTGCCTCCCTGCAATTGATGTGGCATATGTTAAGGAGAGTGGAAACAAAATCAAAATTATTGGAAAATCTTTTTTCCAGTTTGTCCAACAATTTCTGATTTTTGCTTCTGATTTTCGCTTCTGATTTCCAGCATCCACAGTTCTTTGATTTTATTTCCAAAAAAAACCAACTTGTTTTCATTTAACGAATCTGATCAAACGTCGTAAATTTTGTGCCATGTTAAAGCAATACTGAGAAAACATCATCGGTTGATTTTAATCCATCTCGCCTGGCAGCAAGAGGCCAAGGTGGTAGCTTTAAAACACCTTACTGTCCCAATTCTGCTGGAATTCCACTGGCCACCAGTTATCTGAAACTGGCACCAGAGGCACATGGAAACTTCAGGATCAGCTTCCAATTCCAACACTGAGACCTTCATTGCGTTATAACCCAGATTCAAGCAGGCAAGCCAAAGTGAAGGCAATAAGGTGCAGAGAGAGCCTAAACTGGCATCACTCACTGGTTCAGTTGTGGAGATATTACACTTCCCTCCCACGCATCTGGTTAGGCCAGTGCACAGAACTGTGTGGCACTGCATTCAAATTGTATTAGAATTCCGTACAATATACATGTAATTTCATACAATACCCAATGCACATGTAATTCTGTACAATATATGTGTGCAAATCCATACAATATATTTGTAATTCCATACAAATATGCACATACTTAACAGAATTGCACAAGTGAAATATACACATGTTTTCATAGGATTTGGATAATATGCAGAACAAAAAAACAGTCAGTTCAACCCAACAGAAGCATTCCACGATTAATACAATGGACCAGAAAACTAGGGCTAGTGAGTTCCACCTCAGCAAGTCAATTGACCAGTCTAAACCCTGAGATTAAAAATCTTCAGAATTTGAGCTAACCATTAACAATCTGGCTCATTCTAATCAAATCCTTCTCAAAGGCAGCTAGGGATAAGCAATAAATGCTGGCCTGCCAGCGATGCCCACATCCCACAAGTAAATAAAAAAATCTGCATTCTTTGAATCCCTCTCCAATGCATACCACTCACAACTGTTTCAGGTAAATGGTAAATTTTCTGTTATAGCACTAGGTGGTACTTTACTGAGCCCTTCAAGGAAAGTCACAGGCTCATTATCCTACACTGGTCTATTGCAGGTTTTCTCTAGCTGGCATTTCTACCACTAGAAGCCAATATTAAACTAAAGGGAAAGAAAAACAGACATTGCTGGAAAACCCAACAGGTCTAACAGTATCTGTGGAGAGGAAGCAGAGTTAACATTTCAGGTCAAGTGACCCTTCTTCACTAAATGGATTGGCAGGGTCATATGAGATGATCTCACCAGAAGGTGTCCTATTTCTGCCTTGTTTAGTTAATTTCTTATACTTCTGATGCAAAAACTAACTACATTTACATATTTCTATCTTAGTTCACGTTTCTTTGTAATAACCACCGAGTATATGTCATATTCCTTCTGCTGTATTTTTGTTGAAAAACATAATAATGATTCTTGATGATATATCTTATGTTTTAGGGTGATCCAGGAGCAAGAGGCCCAAGTGGTCTACCTGGACCATCAGGAGAAGGGATTCAAGGTCAAAAGGTACCATCAGTTGTGATTACATTTTATGCTTTCTTTCATCACTAAAAAGCTAGGATATTACTGCAACATGCTGATGAACTTTTTAGTGGTCTCAAAGCTTGATGATTTAAGTAGTTACACTTCATGCAGAATAAGAAGAGAACTTAAGGTTTTATGCCTCAAGTTTGTGGTTTCCCGATTTGTTTTGCTCTTCCCCTCATTTCACCCTCTTCTCCAATTTGAAACATAGCCTCACTGTGTTGCCTGATCTATACAAAGCTCATTCAACAAAATCAATTTGGGAAACAAGGCATTTAGAGGAGGTGAAAGTATCAAGAAAATAAACACATTACAGGAGGAATTTAGAAATGTCTGACTTACGAATGCTCATACTTATGAACACGATCCCATACAGAGGTGTAATTTTAAATATCTGGCATACAAACATTTCCTGTGTTTATATTGTCCTGCCTTGTGTTCTGACGTGCATACAAATGAGCTTGGAAATGGACTCAAAAATGGAACCTGTTCGCATCTCTAAGACTACCTGCGCACAAGTACGATTATAATTAAATGCGTATGAGTTAATTTTACACATATTTCGTTCTTCTTACGTGAAAAATATTAATTGGTCTCTTCTGTTATTATGTAGGGAATATCTGGGAGACCAGGACCACCTGGTCCTCAAGGGCCTCCAGGTGAAGGCATGCAGGGACCTAAGGTATCTATAATAAATGCAGTAAACAAAATTAAATGTTTTGTAGAATCTATGATCACAGTAGAGATTGTCATTTATCTTTTAAAGTGGTTTCTTACATTTATCATTGTCAAATATAGAATTGAAACTATTATTACCATTCACACATTCCTTATCTACCAGGGGGACATAGGTGTTCAAGGTTTGCCAGGACCTCGTGGACCACCAGGAGAAGGGCTCATGGGACCTAAGGTAAATGGCCAATTTGTGGGTTTATGTTAAATCTTTATTGACCAACATCCAAACTGACACCTCCTTATTGACAGGCAAAGCCATCTCTTTCCACCACTTCAGGGCCAGTTAGAGATACTGTCGCTGTTAATTACAAGATGATGCAAATCTACCCCATGACAATAGAGTCCAATCTCTCCCAGAGCAAATTTATGAGTGAATGGTAAGTGAAGTATCTGTGGGACATATACCAGGCAAAACATGAGATGTACGGACACCATCTGCATCTTGTAAAGTTTCAGGCAGCGGAGAATCTTCAAGAAAGCCATAGAATTCTGCCCCTATCCCTGCAATTGTACCAGAAAGAGAAAATGCTGTCGGTCCTTTCAGAAGCAATCAAATGAAATTTAAACATGCTCACCGTCTGGCAGTAAGGTGCTGCAGGGTCAGATGTGGGACACACAGAGCAGGTTAACATTAAAGCAAAACTAGGTGGTGGTCATCAACAGCTGGAACATGATACAAAAAACAGAGGGAAGACATGGTAATGTTAAAGTGATAAACTCTGATGTGACCTCCCTTTCTACGGCAGTGTTATAAATCAGGTAGATTGTCTGGGTACTTTTGAGATGTTTTCTCAATGATGTACAATCAGATGCATTGGCCTCAGCTTGGACATGGCCAATACCTCAGAACTGAGGGTGAAGACCATATGGATCTTTAAAATAGCAAGATGTAGAAATAAGGTGCGGGGCTGGAGTTTGATGGAGGATGCAGGAAGCTGAGTTGAAAAGCTTTACAAGGGCCGTGCCTGCCCATTTTTTTGTTCTGTGGAAGGAGGATGGATGGATTCAGCACCATTGTCTCTGGAGGCAGGCCTGAGGTGGAAATGGAGGTAAGCGAGCAATAGTATCTAATTCAGTTAATAGGTTGTTAAATATCTAGGAGTTAAAAGTAAGAAGCAAACCGGTGTTGAGAACTAATTCGTTAATTGTATTCAAACATATAGAAAGCACAGGTTGTTGAGATTTATGGTGTGTGATTGGCTGAATTGAAACTCTAACTAGAATGTCTGTGCCTGGACTTTGTTGAATATCACTTAACTTCTAGTCAACTACGGTAAGTACCAACACAGGCTGGTTTAAATGCCCACCTCAATTATTTAAAATGTTAGCCCTGTTGTATTAAAGACTATTAGGCAGTCTAGCCCTCACCACTCACAGCTTCTTATGCCTTCCTCACTGATCCATCACCTGCCCGTGTCTACTTATATCCCCAAATCCACCTCATATTTAGTCTGTTATCCTCATTATACTCCCCTATGCCACTCCACTCCATGATTGCTTCATGTCTCAATATCATCTCGCTACGTCTATGCCCCCCTCATACCCCCGCATCATCCACACCCCATCATTGTTCCCCCATGTCTCCTCCATTCACCCTCCTATTCCCTATGCTCAGTCATATCCCCCATACCTACTCCATTCCCTCCCCAACATTTGGCTACTTACCTAGAATTGGTTATGAGCAAACCGCGAGAGTTGTGTGGAGATGAGAAAAAACCTTGTGACAATCCAATAGTGTGCTAACACAAATATACTGAAAAATATTTATTTGTGACCCCCGTTCAAAAATGTGAATCTCCTCAAGTGGTCACTTGGTTTAAAAACAAATGAACATTTATTTTACTAAATAAATAAAAGACATTTAATACTTATAATAACCTCTTGCATCTGTCAATCAAACAGACTTCTGCTGAATAAGTGTTTATGGACCATTTTAAATTTGTACAAGCATTCTTAATTGGCTCAACTATAATAACAAACTTGGTAAATCTGAAGATTGGAGTCATCTGAAATTGGATAAACTAGTAGCTATTTTTTTTTCTAATTTGCACCCAGATGATCTGTCAACTAATGCATTCCAACAACAAGTGTCTGTTCTATTTTACTTATAGTGTTAGCTGCAGACCTTTTATTTAATTTTAAAAGGTTGGGGATTTAAATTACTTCAGATACATTACTTAAACCTACCTTAAATCTACCCATCACAAGCATTTATGCCTCCTCTATAAAATCACAAGTTCCACACTGTTGGTTAAAACAACTGGATGTGAAAGCTGGATGTACTCAGCAGTCTAACCAAATGGCCTTGCATAGTTCAAGTTTCCCATATATGTGATTCACAGCTGCCCCTTCTCCTGCAGCAAAAATGGATCTACCAGGAATTATGCATCTAGGTCCAGCCACCATTTGTAAAGGTCTCTCCAATCATCCTGATTGGGTAAAAATCTGGCAATGGTAGACATGACTAAAAACATTGCAAGATTAATTTTGAAAGGTTTTGCTATAGGTAGCAGGTATGTATAACAAACTGAAGCAGATTGGTTCAAGGTCAATGGGCAGTTTTAAAAAGGAACTGAATCAAATCCTTGTTGAGAAAGAGAAATTAGATCATAGAGACGCTTGGATGGATTGATGGATTCTTTTTTCAGAGAATATAGAAGATGAAACATTTTTCTTAAAGTGGACAAACAATGGATGATGATTAATCAGGAAAGATGACAATGTAGGTGGAATTTAATACTTCTCTGCACAACCCCCACCCCCTCCAGCAGAGATATGGGTGAGGGCCTTCCCCCTTCCCACTTCTCACTCTCTTATGACGACTTCCTGCCTGGATACTGACTTTTTTTTCTTCATTCATGAGATTATGAGTGTCACTGGCTTAGCCAATGTTTATTGCCCATTCTTAAATGCCCCAAAGAAGGTAGTGACGAGCTGCTTTCTTAAACTGCTGCAGTCCGTGGAGTGTTGGTACATCCACAGTGCCTTTAGGAAGGGAGTTCCAGGATGTTGACCCAGCAACAGTGAAGAACTAGTGATTATATTTAAAAGTCAAGATGGTGTGTCTTAGACTAGAACCTACAGGTGGTGGTGTTCCCATGTATCAGCTGCCAATGTTCTTCGTGGTGCTGTTGGAAGGTGTTGTCAAATGAGCTTGGGTGAGTTTTTGCATCTTGTGGATAGCACAGACTAAGCTACTGAGCATTAGCAGTAAAGGAATGAATTTTCAAGTTAGTGGATGGGGTGTCAGTCAAGTGAGTAGTTTTGTCCTGGATGGTGTTGAGCTTCAGTGTTGCTAAAGCTGTACTCATCCAAGAAAGTGGTGAGTATTCCATCAAGCTCCTGACTTGTTCTTTGTAGATGGTGGACAAGCATCTGAGGAGACAGGTGGTGAGTTACTTGACATAGAATTCCTAGCCTCTGATCTATTGTTGCAGTCACAGTATTTCTGTGGCTAGTCCAGTTCAGGTTCTGGTCAGTGGTAACTCCTAGAATGTTGATAGTGGGGGATTCAGTGATAATAATAGAATTTCCATTGAACCTCAAGGACAGATGACTAGATTCATGTTTATGATAGCCATTGTTTGGCACTTGTGTGGCACAGATATTTCTTGCCATTTATCAGCCCAAGCCTTGATATTGTCTAGGTTTTGCTGCATGTGGACTTATGCTACTTCAATATCTGAGGCCTCACAAAAGTTGCTGAACATTATGCAGAATCAAAGGCAGAAGGTCTTGAAGTCAACGTTGTCATTTATTTATCTTGCAGGGTGACCGTGGTCTTTCAGGAGAAAGAGGACAAAAGGGAGGGAAAGGAGATGTGGGTGATTCTGGCTCTCCTGGTTTGCCTGTAAGTGTATAATTGTTCCTGTATTGATGTGTCATCTTGTTATTTAATTCTAACATTCTCTTGAAAATGAAAAATCATAGCATCACATTCTCTGCAAATGAACTGCTTCACATTAATTAGATATTAACTGGTAGTCCCTTTCCATTTCTAACTGCTAACAGTGACTAACTTGTTCCACTTCCTCTCCTGTTTGGAGCTACTAGTCACAGAGCGGTTTCAGAGCACATGGTTGAAACCTCACTCAAAAAAGGGAATAAAAAAGTCCTGGCATACATTTTTGGGCAGAATTTCCTGGCCGGTGTGACATGTTTGAGCATTTCTTTTCCCTCATCTGAAGTGGAATAAAAGGAAGCATCAGGTGCAGTAAAGTTCTTAAATAGCATCAGGCTCTGTGGAATTCTTTTGTTGCAATACTTTAAATCTAACTTGTTGCTTTATTTAATGTCTTTTTGGGATAGACATTTTTGGGACACAATTTTCATTTGCTTCATAAGATTTATTTTTAAATATCACAGAAGTAGTTAATTAATTTTGATGTTAGTAATTTGAAATCAGACTGCAAATGACACATTTGCAGAATGTCAGTAGATCAAGAACCACTGAGGAAAGTGTATACATGACAATTTGGTTTTCCTATTGCAACTTTCATGGGAAATCAGAAAACAGGAAAGCATCGAGATGCAAGCTGCAAAGTCCAATGGGAGGTATGTGGGCAAGACACAATGAGGTAAATTTTCATCTTCACCACATGAATAGCAAACCAACAAAATGGCATCTGCTTCTTCAAAAATCTATCTGATTTTCATTCTGGTTTCTGAGCAATAAAATCTGGACTATGTTTCACATCCAGAGAAAATGAAAATATTTTAGATGCGAGGCATGTTAAGGTACCACATAGTCAGGCTAGTACAGACTAGATCTACAGACTTTGGTATACACATGGCAATAACCATGAAGAATTATGGAGTGCCAGCACTACATTGATGCAATCTAATTTGTCAATGTTGAGGGAATGTTTTCGAGTAAGATGTCAAAATTGAGTCTTCTACTAGTTGAAGCAAAGATTAAAGATCTTAGAGCATTAATGAGAAAAACTTTCTGTGCCTTGTAAACATTTTTCACTCAATCAAATCAAGGTTAACAGGTTATTTTGTTATGATTTTTGAGATGTTATTATATGTTCAAGTCTTCTTGTGATTTGGCCATTACTTCTGTTAAACATTGTGAAGTGCTTTGATATATATGCATACAAAAGTCTTCCTTTGAAGATCCACAGAATCCACACAATTTTACCCCACCCAGTCAAGCAGAAACAAAATGTGCGGGGGTTAAAATCTTCTGAGTGTGCTTGCTACAGTGTTCCTGCCTATGACATTTAGACAGTCAGGCTAATAGCTGCAGAAAGGCTCACCTGACAGATGGCAGAGGTGTTATCATCCTTTTACAAGATGAGGTCAGATGATGCAATTTAGACACCAATATAATTTTTACTGCTAATTACAACAGTGATACCATGCTGAAACCACTTATGAACATGTGAACGAGCCGGTGAGGCCCACAGGTGTCTTCATTTGGTTGGGAGATGTAGGAATATTCCTCCAAGCCTCAAACAGAAACCATCAATCTGCCTTTCCCTCCCTTCATTACAATAAACTATGGCCCCTGAACCTCTCATCTGTTCCCTTGTACTAGGGACCGTTCCCTCCAGTTCCCACTGATGTTCTCTTGCCATGTGAAATCCTGCTCCTGTCCACCAACCGCTTTGTCATTCCTGCAAAAGTCTGCCCTGTTACAGAGTGATGAAGCAAATCATCTCACTCTGATTTCTTTATTCCAGATCCATCATACGTATCAACTCATTTCATGCAATGACCATTCTCTGAGTTAAAATTATCTTCAATGATTTGGCAGTATTTAGTTACAATTATATTGATAGGTAATGTGTTAAAAGTACTTTTTTTTCTAGTATTAATTCTTTTTATTCTAATTATTTTTACAATGATTTCTGATTGCTTAGGGTAGACCTGGAGTAAAGGGTGACCCTGGATTAACAGTGAGTAACAATTTACACTTAATAATGCATCTAACAAAGGCATTCTACAATGTGTCATGTATTATATGCTAAAAGAGACAATGCCACTGTGAATACAAAATTGATTAAGGGGCAGAAATCAGAGATTTTTAGTGAAAATATATTTCTCATAATTGAGAGAAGGTCTGTTTTTCATGGGTTTTGAATTAGTTCCACTGCACGTTTTAATGTATATTAATGGCTTAATGGCCTGGACTTGGACTTGGGAATACAGTTTCAAAGGTTAAGGACAACACAAAATTCTGAAATGTAGCTAACAGTGTGAATGATAATAAGAGATTTCAAGAGGACCCAAATGGATATGTGAAATGGGCAAATGAAGAGATGAATTTTGATAGGAAAAATGAGGAGAGGCAATATTAACAAAATGATACAATTTTAAAGTGAATGCATATATGCAAATCTTTTGAACGTAGCACTAAAAGCTGAGAGGTCTGTTAAAAAGTGTATGTGATTCTTGGCCTTATTAGTGGCAGCTTTGAATAAAAAAAGCAAGGAAATTATGCTCAGCTAAAGCATTGTTTTCAATCTAAAGGTAGATTGTCATGGCTTAGAGTGCAGAAGAGATTTACGAGAACATGGAGATACTACTGCCTTTATAGCAGAGAAGGTTAAGAGGAGATTTGATGGAAATGTTTAAAATCAGAATGATTTTGATAGAATAAATATGAAAAAAAGTTATTTCCAATGGTGGAAGA